AAAAAAAAAAGAAAACAGGCTATTTAAACATACACATAATGAGAGATGGAAACTGCATATCATCAATAAGGCGGTAAAGCCTGAAGAAACATCCATTAAAAAAAGAAACATCCTGAAATTGAAACAATGATTTAATTATACTGACACATGTATGTTGATCTGATTATTTCTAGACTGAAATAGTGCTTATTCAAGAGAAGTGGTGTGTATCCCTGTCAATTCAAACCAATACTTTTTGCAGGCCTTCAAAGAGGAGGTCTATATATCTAGGCAGGCAGAAAAGGTCTTCTCTTACTTCTGTGCTACCCAAATTAGCCGAGCCTCCCCACGCACCGATTTATAAAAGCGGACAAAAGAAGACAATAAAGACACATCAATAAAGACTTCCACAATGTTCAACTGCTGTTTTCATATAATCAAGACAATGACACAGGATAAGTAAAACTAGAACCAAGAGACAGAGAACAAACAGCTGCCAGAATAAACAGCACACCACTAAGTAACCACATAGACTTCGTGATATTTACTTCATATTGTTCTTGTGTCTGCATTTCAGTCCATTCTTCTATCCAATTGATGACAAAGTCAGAAACATTTAAATCTCCAGCTGAAAGACTGCTGTCTGTCCTGATTCTCAGTCACAATCAAAAGGTTCACATAAATGTTAAAACCACAAGACCAACATTGCAAGTAAAAATAATTTCACACAATAATTTCACACTGCAAAAATATACTTTTTTCTTCTATGTAACACAATTAATAATGTAATTAATGTGGCTCCATACAGAAGTAACTTGTGAAAATACTGAACACTTTATTAACCTGCAGTTAAAATGTAAGATGAAATTAAATTATGTTGAAGTGATTAATATGCACACAACAATCACTGCTGTAAGGACTGCCAGAAAAAATATTATGCATGGTGTGTAAACTGTGAAACTGGTCCTAATCATAATCCTGTTTATGCAACTAATAGATTTACTTTATTATCCGGGAAAAAAAAAAATTCTGTTTGAAGTACTGGCGCTCAAGACCAATCCTACGGACACCTGCTACATTCCTGATAATCACTGCCTAAAATTAAAATCTGTGCAAGATTCTCCCCAGTTCAGTGTATAAGCAGTGTAGGTTGTGTTCCTATTTTGTCCCAGGGCTGAAAATTTAATTAAGAGATAAAGATGCTAAAGCTGTTTAACCCATGTGTAATTACACAGAGCAGTGCATCATATTCCCAAATCAGAGAGTGCGACTCAAACTTACATATCATCAATAAGGCAGTAATGCCTCGTACCTGAAGAAACATCTACTTATAATATTATATTAAATTACGGATACTAATTTAAGTTTACTGCCATGTGTATGAACTGTATATTCCTTCTAGACTGGAAAAATGTTTATTGAAGAGTGAAAAAAGAAGTGCTGTGTCTCTCTCTGTCAATTTAAATCAACACTCTTTGCAATCCTTCAAAGATGAGGTCTATACATGAACATAAACACTGGCATCAACGTCATCCACTTGGGTAGATTACATCGTAGTCTCTGTACACAGATTTGCCCAAGAAGTTTAAATCAGCTGTAAGGAGCAAGAATAAGATGGAACAGTGTCAAGAAACTGCTTAGCATGTTGGAGTCTTAATGGAATTAACCTGGAGAATTGCTGTACTAGCGCAGAACAGCTATGCGCTACAGCCCACAGATCATGGCTGCGGCTTCTCCAGTCTATATGTCAAAGTATCCTTGGGCAAGCTACTGAAAGTTACCATCAGAGTGTGAGTGTGTGCATGAATATTAGGCAAAATGCTTAAAGGCACAGAATGTCTTCCTCCCTTCATCCCAACCAGTCAGGGCAGATGGCTGCCCCTCCCTGAGCCTGGTTCTGCTGGAGGTTTCTCTCTGTTAAAAGGGAGTTTTTTGTTCCCACTATCGCCAAAGTGGTTGCTCATAGGATTCATATGATTGTTGGGGGTTTCTCTGTTTTCTTTGGATTATTGTAGCGTCTTTACCTCACAATATAAAGCGCTTTGAGGCAACTGTTCTTGTGATTTTGCGCTGTGTAAATGAAATTTAACTGAATATTTAATTGAATTGAATGAAGATGTTGAAAGTACCGTGTGTGTGTGTGTGTGTGTGTGTGTGTGTGTGTGTGTGTGTGTG